CAGTGAACAACTTCTGTTGCAAAATATTTCATGAAGGTGCAAAGTGTAGCATATACATGTTCACGTCACTTAGAAAAATGATGTGCTTCTGGTCACTGGATGGCCTTTGTTGGCTGTTACCCAGCTGGGTACAGATCAAGTTATTGAAGAGGAAAACAAAAATCTTGGAGGGGAGGGGGAATTTTTTATTCTAAAAATAGCTACTTTATTTGCTTGAATTTAAAATCTGAGGGGTAGAAGTTATAGTCCTCAGAGGCGAAAGGAAAGAAACTTCACATTCTAAAACCCTCAAAGTATAACACAGGAACATTATTGCGATGTTTGAATAATAATGTCATAATACCTTTACTCAAAAATTTAAGAACTTCTGACACAGCAGTGTGCTATGAGTGAACTCATCCTGGTAGGTGAGAATAAATAATGAGTAGTAAGTTAACAGGACACTTGCTCACTAGGTCTATAGGAGGTGAATACACCCCCTTAGGGCAGGATCGGGTGGGAATGAACTGAGAATGCACATCCTTTGAGGAAGGCTGTCTTACTTTATCTTTAATGCAGTTAAAAACCTATGGAAGGGAGCCACGGGGGTTCACTTTGGACCGACTGGGTTTCCCACCAACTCTGCCTGATGGTTCCCTCCTCCCCCCAAAGATGTAATCGACTTCCGAGCAGAGAGAAATGGCTGGTTTGGAGTGGGTGCCAGTAGCTCTGGCTCTCTCTCCTGCAGGTAGATGACATTCAGCCTTCCCAGCTTCTCCTGCTTTGAAGGGTCTKAGTCTTCCTACCTCCTCATGGCAGAAGCCGCCCTCATAAATGACCGTCACCTCTCTCAGTTCCCTGGGACGCTGAGCGTGCTGGCTTTGGATGTCACCGACTCGGCGACTCCACAGAAGGGTGGCTTATTATTACTGGTGGGGGGTGTGGAATGCCTTCTTCGGGACACTAGGGCGGGCCTCGGTCAGGTGCCAGGTTCTAACACGTGGGCATCGGACATGCTGCCCGGACAATGGGTTCACGTGGGGTGGGGAAGGGGCGAGGCCGGGGGACGCAGAGGCTCCTTCCGTGGCCCGGGCGTTCACATGACCACGCACTTGCCCTTGAGCTTCTCTTTCCTCTTCTGCTGCTTGCTCTTTTTGCCGTCGATCTGGAGGCTCACGGTCCTGCGCTTCTCCAGGTTGAGCAGCTCCTGGAAGAGCTCCTTGACGTTGTGGTTGAGCTTGGCCGACGTCTCCATGAAGGCGCACTTCCAGGAGCGCGCCAGGGCCTCGGCCTCGCCGCTCTGCACCTCGCGGCTGGGGCTCTCGTCGCACTTGTTGCCCACCAGCATGATGGGGATGCTCTCCACGTCCCCCTTGATCTCGCAGATCTGCTCGTAGATGGGCTTGAGCTCCTCCAGGGACTGCCGGCTGGTGATGGAGTACACCAGGATGAAGGCGTGCCCCTTGGAGATGGACAGGC